AAAAAAAAAAAAAAAAAAAAATAGTGGCTAGTAAATATTCACTAAAATAAAATTTAGCAGTTATGGTTTGGTAATAGGACACAATCTTTAAAAAGCAGGGATATGAATCTTTCAAGCAACAATGTCACATACAGCACCATTCTGAGTTCTAGGGGCTACAGGACATCTGGTGTGTCCTTATCAGACAGGAGGCAGCTGGACAATTTCAACTTCAGAGGATACAGAAGTACGGTGAGGTCTAAAGGTTGCAACCTCACCTTTGGCTCTGGATTTAAGAATGCGGGCAGCCAAGTTCAAATACAGTAATAATAGATTGCCTAGCATAGACTGTGTGCTTTCACAAGCTCATGGCAGTTGAGTCTCACCACAATTCTAAACGTTAACATTATTGAAGGTTATTAAGATCTGGCATAGCTATGTAAGTAATATCCACTAAAGTACATTCTGCTCCTCTGTCTTATTTCCTTGTTCATACTTATTACTTCCTTGTTGATACGTCCAGCTACCACAAAAAAAACCACTATTAAAATCTTTGTTTACAATGAAACAACTGTAAAACATTTACAAAAGTTAATCCCTGCTGTTACGTCTACCTCTATGATCTGACAACCTACATACTAAGGTGTGGTTCCCCTTTATCCTCAGCCGATATGTTCCATGACCCCCGCGGATGCCTGAAACCACAGACAGTAGCAAACTCTATATATACTATGTTTTTTTCTATACATACATTCCCATGATCAAGTTTAATTTATAAGTTGGGCACAGAAATTAACAGTAACTAACAAAAATAGAAAACAATAACAATATACTGTAACATAAGTTATGTGAATGGTCTCTCTGAAAATATCTTATTGTACAGTATTAAGAGTAACTGAAACTTCGAAAAGTGAAACCACAGATAAGGGGGAGACTGGTGTATTCTCCCTTATTAGGCTGGGGGAGGTGGGGAAAGCGGGAGGTAGATACAATGAACACGTTCACATTCTAACTTGGATCTCCGACATACAATTAGCTTCAGAGCTAAGATATCAATGAGAAAGCCGTATGAAAGGATTGCATTTAAAGAGATTTCCATGTGCTTCCCAAGACAAAAGAACTGATCCATCAACAAAGGACTAAGAAAAAAGAGCCCAGTAAATCACAGCGCTGCCTTAGGCTGGGTCTTCCTTTCAATGGACCACTTGTTTTTTCCTTTTTTTTTTTTTTTTAAGAGTTTGGCTGTTTACTAATAGGACAGTTTAGGGAAATGGCTGTAGAATAAGTAATAAAACTTTAAATGAGGCCAGATTTCACAACCCAGTAAAAGATCACTAGTGACTAACTTTATTATGGAAAAGGCGCATCACTGGCATACCTACGATCCCTCCAACGTCGTACCAAATGGACAGCTTGTCGGCTTCCGCCTCCTTCCAGCCGAAGTTGTTACTCAGATAAAAGGGGAGCCAGAAGAAGAAGGAGTAATTCACTAACTTCAAGCAGGCGTAGGCCAGTGAGTACTACAAAAAAAGCATTCAACTCTCAGTGAGGGACAAATAGCACAGCATGACCACCATTTTTAATGTCATTTAAAAGCAAAACAAAATCAAGGAATTTAGGATGAACAGAACCTGATTTTACAATTAAACATCTCTACAAACCCCCACATGCCTGACTTCAGCCAGTCTCCCTCTGCTCTTCATCCCTGTTAACTTCTAGACAGGCATGTACAGCAGGCCTTTGGAATAAAAAACACATATGGCTACTTCTTAGCTGTCTCCAGTTTCTCCTCCTATCAGTTCTCCAGCAGAAGCAAGCCAGTGTTTGGAGCCTATAAGGCAGGGCACATGCCCACATTTCTTTATTCACACAAAGATGAATGGTATTCATGCCACTAACCAGCGTTAACCACAGGCAAAGAAGTCCAGGAAGCACCACGGCCTTTACTGGGAGCAGCCAAACGGGCTTGGTTATTCTACTCCTTGCCAAGGCAACACTATGAACAATGGAGAGCAAAGGCTACACTACAGTTCCAAGGTCTAAGAAGAGCAGCAGCATGATAATCCCTTTCACACTAGTTTCCAAAAGCTCCACATTCCCCGGTCCGGTGGCAAAGAAGAGAGTCTCTCTGGCGAGTCAAAAATGAAAGAACATGTCATCATCGTCCTTGTGACTCTCTCCTTTAGGGGAAAAAATGCTGCAGCTACATGAAGACGGTGGTGGGGCTGAGCCTCCTATATTCAACACATTACTACCAGGAAATCCTGACATTTAGCATCAAAGGAAAAAGGGGGGGGGAACAGAGGGGCTGACTTCAAAGGGTGTCTGGCTAGTATATTCTTTTCCCTGGAGCTGCCAGTTATTCCCTAGGTATCACTTGTTTTAAAACAGCTTCCCTGGCAGGCAACAGCCACCCCCTAGAGGGCCAAATCCCAATCACGAGTGCATTCTGACCAGACAGCCTGCTACAAAGACAAAGGAATTAAGTTAACTAGATTTCCTTTACATCCCTGCCCATGTCAGAGAACAATAGCTTGTGAAGAACAAAGGAACAGCAAAAGCGGTCCATATTTAGTCACAACAAAGATTTTTCTCAAAAATTAAACTATTACCAGTCGAGTATTTTAAAAACCAGTTAAAAGATAATAATCAATAGCATAAGAACAGGCCTAAAGCAACCTGCATTTCTCTTATATCATGTATCATCACTGGGTTAAAGGATTGTGGAAAATTACATTTTAACTCATACTTAACTCTGTTGGAAACGTGAGTTCTCTCAGCTTGGGGGCACCGACAGAAGAGGATTGACAGGCACGTATTAAGATGGCCTACAGATCACTCTACCTGAGGATCACATTCATAAAGCACCGCTGACAAATGAAATAACAACAGGTGCTTGTTCAAAACACAACAGCCCAATGTTACAGGCCCCGGGGAAGACTGGAATAATTTCTATTCCATGGGAAGGGGAACTGAGACACACGGATGGGTTGCGTGACTTACCCCAGGTGTCACAGAAAGTTAGTGGGTAAGCTGGAAACATAACCTAGGCCTCTTAACTTCCACTCCAGTGCTAGAGCGCCCGAAACATCAAGACAGAAAAACTGCAGAAGGGATTTAGTGTAGACGTTAGAAGGCTTTCCTGACTGCACAGGCTGTGGAAAACACTGGAATGCATGACCAAGAAAGACTGTGGAGTGCTCTGTTCTGGACCCTTTAAAAGCGGGCAAGCTGGGCGCGGTGGCTCACGCCTGTAATCCCAGCATTCTGGGAGGCCAAAGCGGGCAAGGAGGTCAGGAGATGGAGACCATCCTGGCTAACACAGTGAAACCCCGTCTCTACTAAAAATACAAAAAATTAGCTGGGTGTGGTGGCAGGCACCAGCAATCCCAGCTACTCGGGAGGCTGAGGCAGGAGAATCGCCTGAACCCGGGAGGTGGAGCTTGCAGAGAGCCAAGATTGCACCACTGCACTCCAGCCTGGGTGACAGAGCGGGACTCGGTCTCAAAAACATAAATAAATAATAAAAGGGGCAAGGCAGACTTAGGAACCATTCACAACCCTTCTTCTTGGTCCACATATAATCCTATAATACTTTGAAAGGCCCAAAAGTAGACATTAAAAAATATCAATTTTGCCTTTTTAGTCACATACTAGATCAGGGTCAGGAAAGCAGGGCTCTTTGGCCAAGTCTGGCCACGCCTAACTGTCCCATGTTTTCTGTGACTTATTTTGCTCTACAGAGCTGAGTAGTGGAGAGACTGGATGGTTTCCCGAAGTCGAAAATATTTACTCTCTGCCTCTTCATGGAAGGTTTGTCAACCCCTGCATTAGGGATCAGATAAGCTGAGGGGCACGAGACAACATTCCTCAGAACATATATTCCTAAAATAAAGTATCCAAGACAGGCTCAATACTTAGGGAAGCTTTATCCCAGGCAGAGGGGATGTCACGGGCTCTCACACCTCCCTGGCAGTGGTGAGATGTGAGCGGCTCTTACCGGTATGACTCCAGGAAGGCAACACGCCTGGTAGAAGCTTATTGCCTTGACTTGGGCGACAGAACTATCATCTTGGATTGAATAATTCGGCTCATATTCCTCTTCATTTTCACCACCATTAATTAATGGCCTGTGTGAGTCTTCTTCAAAGTTTTCTTCTGCCTCAATACCTGAGAGACCTAAAACAACAGCGACAGCCACTGTTTATGGAGAGACCACCACGTGCGAAGGGCTCGGCATACATCACTACTTATGGGGCGATGTTAATTTTATTTCCATTTTACAGAAACAGCAATGAAAGTCCAGAGACCAAGTCAACTAAGGTCAATTAAAGTCACATAGTCTGTCTAAAACTCCTCAAAAGATAGAAGAATTGTACATCTGTTTGCTTCTGTGGTTTCGCTTGTATGTGATCTGTATTTAAGTACAGGTATCATTTTTGTGAATCATTTTTATGGATGAAAAGAAATGTTTCAAGAAGTGAAATTAGAAATACATCCATGTTCATTCCTTGCCAGTGTCTCAATTATAAAAATCATTTGCAAATGCGAAGATTTTCCTGTATCTACAAAAGACGTGCATCACTCCCCTCAAACATGTCCAGCTGTGCCAGGGGCTGGCTACAATGTCGACAGGACTCAAACGGCAGTACTGTTCTCCTTTCACTCACTAAAAGGAGCTCAGAGTTTTCCTAGGAAAAAAGAGATTCGATTTTTTGGCCTCAGATTTCCTTTTGGCCATAATAGTAAGACATTCGGAATAGAAGGGACGGCTTCTCCTCACCAATTTCTTCTGGTGACACCAGGAGTCCAAAGAAGATAACGATCCCACCGGCAAACTGCACAGACGCCGTCACCAGAAAGGCATACTGGAGGAGAGGGGGAAAGGGGGTCCTTACATATCTGGGGACAGTCATCACAAGCATATTCAGTAAAGGCAGGTGGGGGGAGGCGGGGGTTGGGGAGAGGTGGGAAGGGAGACTGGGAAGCAAAGCAGCACCCAGTGCTTCTACTGGGCCAGGCGCTGTGCAAAGTGTTCTACTCGTGTTTTCTCATTTAATTCTTCCTGGTGATTCTATGAGGCTCAGAGAGGAAAATTAAGGTCCCCTGGATACTAAGTGGTACTATTATGGTTGTGAAATTAGACTAGCTCCAAAAATCTAGTTATTTGTATCACATAGCCTCCCATAAAAGACAGTATCTGCCCTCGAAGATATTACATACAGTTGAGGGGATTAAATACATGAAACAATATTATAAAGCACCATGTAGTTGGATAAATGAGAAGGCCCAATCCTACTGAGAAACACATACAGGAATCCAGACGAAGGAAAGAGCTGAAGAGGCTGAAGCAGTAAGACACTGTCTTAGGGAAGAATGGAAAATGAAAGCCAATTGTCCATCTTTCCAGGCACATGGTAAGCAAAGGCACGGGGTGGAAGGAGATAGAAAGCTCACTGCACGACTCAAGGAGAGGGCTTCTGTTAGGGTATAATAGGGAAGAAAACTGATTTGGAAAGGTGACAGGTAGATTACAGACTCTCCATCATCAGGCTGCACGGCTGAATTTTTATTTAACAGAGAATGGAGCCTGATGTGGACACTCTGAATTTTTAAACCAGTGAGTGACAAAATTAAAGCAGTGTTTCCAGAAGTCAAATCTGAGAGCAGCACAGAAGGTGAACAGAAATTTTCATCTGAACCAACTACATAATCCAGGGGTGAGGCTAAGAAGCCTAGAATAAAGGTGGCCATGAACAAAGGGAATGAAGGACTTCTCACTGACCCTAACTACACCAAAACTCTTGGTGAGCTGTTTAAAAATGTATCCACTTTTTAAAAGAGCAAACTTACTTTTAATAATTTAGGTTTTTGAGTAGGTGATATATTCACATGATTCAAGCAATAGAGGAATAAGATATACAGTAAAGCTGGGCATGGCGGCTCACGCCTATAATCCCAGCACTTGGGGAGGCCGAGGTGGGCGGATCACCCGAGGTCAGGAGTTCGAGACTAGCCTGGCCAACATGGTGAAACCCCGTCTCTACTAAAAATACAAAAATTACTCAGGCATGGTGGCATACACCTGTAATCCCAGCTACTCAGGAGACTGAGACAAGAGAATCCCCTGAACCCAGGAGGTTGCGGTAAGCTGAGATCACGCCATTGCACTCCAGCCTGTGTGACAGAGTGAGACTCAGTCTTGGAAAAAATTAAAAAATGTACAGTAAAAACACTCCCTCCTACCCCACCTTCCCTATCTGCTCAATTCTCCCAATTTTCCCAACATATAACCACTGCTGTTCATTTTTACTGCCCAGAAATCGTTTTGGAAACATACAAGCTAATACAAGCATATTCTCTTTCATTCTTCCTTCTTACAAAAACGGCATTCAATACAGTTTTACACCCCTGCCGTCTTCACTTAGCACACTATTTTTTTTTTTTTTTTGAGACACAGTCTTGCTTTGTCACCCAGGCTGGAGTGCAGTGGCGTGATCTTGGTTCACTGCAACCTCTGCCTCTCAGATTCAAGAAATTCTCTGCCTCAGCCTCTGGAATAGCTGGGATTACAGGTGCCCGTGACCATGTTTGGCTAATTTTTGTATTTTTAGTAGAGACGGGGTTTCACCATGTTGGCCAGGCTGGTCTCGAACTCCTGACCTTGTGATCCACCTGCCTTGGCCTCCCAAAGTGCTGGGATTACAGGCATGAGCCACCGCACTCGGCCCACTTAGCACACTTTTGAGATTGTTGCAGTGCACTGCTCTGCAACATTCTGGCATTATAAACAATGCCAAAATAAAGAACCTTGTAGATGTATCATTTGCATGTGTTTCAGTCTATTCATCTGTGTGAATAATTCCTGGAGGTGGAACTGCTCAGTGTGTGTAGCTGTAATTTTGATAAGATACTGCCTTTTTGATCCCTCCACGAGTTAGTGACTCTGTTAGTCTTTCGATTGTAATGCCTGTCTCTTCAGGTTCTTACAAGTACAACATGTTTTCAAACTTTTGGATTTTTACCAGTCTAATAAGTATAGAGTATAGTTTTTCTCCCCCCCTCCTTTTTTTAAATAACATAGCTTTAATTTGCATTTCCCTGCTAAGTTCTGTAAGAACAGAGATTTTTGTCTCTTTTGGTCAGTTCTATATTCTACAGTTCCAAGAGCACATATGGGGAGTTAAATATTTATTAAATGAATAAGCAGTGAGTAGAATATTTTACATATAGTTACAAGCCATTTCTATATCCTTTCCATAACTATACATTCAAATTCTGTATCTTTCTGTTGTTGGTCTTTTTATTAAAATTCATGGATGCTCTTTACATATGAGGGGGATTAGCCTTTGTTTTTGGTGTTTTGTTTTTTTTTTTTTTGAGACAGGGTCTTGTTCCATCACCCAGACTGGAGTGCAGTGGTGTGTCTTGGCTCACTGTACCCTCCAGCTCCCAGGCTCAAGCAATCAATCCTCCCACCTCAGCCTCCTGAATAGCAGGAACTACAGGCACACACCCCCACACTCAGCTAATTTTTTAGTTTTTTTGTAGATACGAGGTCTTATTATATTGCCCAGGCTGGTCTTGAACTCCTGGGCTCAAGTGATTCTTCTACTTCAGCCTCCCAAAGTGCTGGGATTACAGGTGTGAGCCGCCATGCCTGACCCAGATTAGTCCTTTATCTGTAACATCAGTTGCAAATACTTCTCAACTGGTTATATGTCTTTAGGCTCTCCATAGTGTTTTTGTTATGAATAATTTTTTATATTAAATAATACTGTGGCCATTTAAAACTATGTAGAACTGTGTCTGGATAATTTTTATGTGTTTGAATATATCAGAAATGTGTCTACTTTTAATGAATATATCAAAAGGTTGTCTACTTTTTTTAAAAATTATTTTGGAATGGAGTCTCACTCTGTCACCCAGGCTGGAGTGAAGTGGTACGACCTTGGCTCACTGCAACCTCCGCCTCCCGGGTTCAAGTGATTCTCCTGCCTCAGCATCCGGAGTAGCTGGAACTATAGGCATGCACCACCACACCCGGCTGATGTTTGTATTTTTTGAGTAGAGATGGGGTTTCACCATGTTGGCCAAGCTAGTCTCAAACTCCTGACCTCAGGTGATCCGCCCACCTTAGCCTCCCAAAGTGCTGGGGTTACAGGTGTGAGCCACCATGCCCGGTCAGAAGTTTGACTATTTTTAATACAAGCCTTGCCCTATCCAGACACAGTTCTGCATAGTTTTAAATGGCCACAGTATTATTTAATATATAAAAAGCAACATACATGTGCACACACACAGAGAGAGAGAGAGAGAGAGCACGAGAGCTAGAAAACAACACCTACCTCATAACCATACTGAAGAACAGAAGAAGCTAGGCACGCTCCCAAAATGTTGCCCACAGAAGCACAGGCACTCCAGAGACCAAAAACAACTCCTCGTCTAAGATGGAACACAGTGGGAGACAAAGGACCACGGTCAGAAGAGATACTCTGGGCAGTTCAAAATACAAAACAGCCAAAACCACCAAGTGCATACTACCTTGCAAGGTGCATACTACATGTGCAAGACTAAACACGCTATTTTAAAAGTTTTTAAAAATACACTAAAATGGGCCGGGCACAGTGGCTCACGCCTGTAACCCCAGCACTTTGGGAGGCCAAGGCGGGCAGATCACCTGAGGTCAGGAGTTCGAGACCAGCCTGACCAACATGCAGAAAGCCCATCTCTACTAAAAATACAAAATTAGCTGGGCGTGGTGGCATGCGCCTGTAATCCCAGCTACTCGGAAGGCTGAGGCAAGAGAACAGCTTGAACCTGCAAGGCGGAGGTTGCAGTAAGCCGAGATCACGCCACTTCACTCCAGCCTTGGCAACAGAGCAAGACTCCGCCTCCCCCCACCCCCCAAAAAAGTTGTATCCAGAATGTAAGGCACTCTCAAAACTCAGTAAAATATGACAACAGACAATGCAACAGAATGGTAAAAAGCATGAATCTACAATCATCTCAAAATACAAAGTCTTTGAAAAGTGGGCAAAAGATTTTAATAGATACTTCACACAAAAAAATATGCAAATAAGCACATGAAAAAACACTGACTTGGCCAGGCAAGATGGCTCACGCCTGTAATCCTAGCCTTTGGGAGGCCTGAGGTGGGCAGGTCACTTGAGGTCAGGAGTTTGAGACTAGCCTGACCAACATGGTGAAACCCCGTCTCTATTAAAAATACAAAAATTAGCTGTGCATGGTGGCTGCACACCTATAATCCCAGCTACCTGGGAGGGAGGCAAGAGAATCACTTGAAACCAGGAGGCGGAGGTTGCAGCGAGCCGAGATCACACCACTGTACTCCAGCCTGAGTGACAGGGCGAGACCCTGTTTCAAAAACAAAACAAAGCAAAAATATTTTTAAAAAGATGCTCAAGTCATTAGACATGAGAAAAATGCAAATTAAAGTCACAATGAGATATCATTACACACCTATTAAAATGACTAAAATCAAAAAACACCAAGCATGCCAAGTGCTGGGAAGGGCACAGAGTAATAAGAATCCTTATGCTGTGCTGATGAGAATGTAAAATGGTACAACTACTTTGGACTGCTAGTGTCTTAAAATGGTAAACGCACCCGGGCGCGGAGGCTCACGCCTGTAATCCCAGCGCTTTGGGAGGCCACGGCGGGTGAATCACCTGAGGTCACGAGTTCGAGACCAGTCTAACCAACATGGAGAAACCCTGTCTCTACTAAAAATATAAAAAATTAGCTGGGCGTGGCGGCAGGCCCCTGTAATCCCAGCTACTCCGGAGGCTGAGGCAGGAGAATCACTTGAACCCATGAGGCGGAGGTTGCAGTGAGAGAAGATCACACCATTGCACTCCAGCCTGGGCAGTAAGAGCAAAACTCCATCTTGGGAAAAAACAAAAAAAAAGGGAAATACACACCTAACATATGATCCAGCCATTCTCCTCCTACGTATTTACCCAAGAGAAATGAAAGCATATGTCCACACAAGGATTTGTACACAAATGTTCCCAGGAGCTTTATTTGTAATAGCCCAAAACTGAAAACAACCCAAATGTTCATCTACAGGTGAATGAATAAACATGAATAAATTTCTAATTATGCTGAATAAAAGAAGACACAAAGGCTGGGCGTGGTGGCTCATGCCTGTATTCCCAGCACTTCGGGAGGCAAGGCAGAATAGCTGAGGCCAGGAGCTTGAGACCAGCCTGGGCAACACAGACCCTTTCTTTACAGGAAAAAAAAAAAAGAGTACATACTGTATGAATCCATTTATATATAAAATTATAGCTGGGCGTGGTGGCTCACACCTGTAATCCCAGCACTTTAGGAGGCTGAGGAGGGCGAAATCACCTGAGGTCAGGAATTTGAGACCAGCCTGACCAACATGGAGAAACCCTGTCTCTACTAAAAATGTAAAACTAGCCAAGCATGGGGGTACATGCCTGTAATCCCAGCTACTCAGGAGGCTACGGCTGGAAAATTGCTTGAACCTGGGAGGTAGAGGTTGTGGTGAGCTGAGATCGCACCATTGCACTGGGCAACAAGAGCAAAACCCCATCTCAAAAAAAAAAAAAATTAGCTGAACGTGGTGTTACACGCCTGTAGTCCCAGCTACTCAGGAGACTGAGGCAGGAGAATCACTTGAACCCGGGAGGCGGGGGTTGCAGTGAGC